CACACACACACACACACACACACACACACACACACACACACACACACGCGTCCCAAATGTTGTCCCAAAGGTTGCGTAAATTGCACCAACAGAGGTGATGATGTAACGTTGAGCAGCTTGTTGCGCACAGATGTCACATCAGCAATCAGATTTTAATGTTTACATTTTAACAACGTTTTACCTGCCTGGAAGTTACTATTTCACTGACTTCAGAGTACTTTTACTTAGGAGTGCCTAGAGTTACAGTCATCCTTATGCCTCCGTGTGGTTATCTGTAGAACAGCAGCCCACACCATTCATACAAACTGTGTGTGTGTGTGTTGTGTACACAGGGTCCCATTTACATCCAGCAAAGTATTAAATGTAAAAGAAAAACAGTAATAAGATCTAAGATATGAACTAAGCAAAACTTTAACTGAAAACACACTAAGCACTATTAGAAACAATAGAAACAATACACCGAACAGCAACACGAACATGAGTCTGTGTGAGCAGATGAGCACCATGAACACAGCAACATGAAACAGATCAGCAGCATCATGATGTGATTTTTCACACTGATTTTCCTGATTAGAGAGTCATGAGTCTAACAGCCTCAGGGTAGAAGCTGTTCCTCAGTTTAGTGGTTCTACTTAATGCTGCTTAACCTCCTTCCTGATGGGAGTGAGGGAAAACGTGTTTGTGCTGGGTGAGTGGAGTCCTTCATGATGCAGGTGGCCTTCTTCCTGCATCTGGAGGTGTAGATGTCAAAGATGGTGGGGAGGCTGACTCCAACAGTCTTCTGTGCAGCCTTCACCACTCTCTGCAGAGCTTTCCTTTCTGCAACTGTGCAGCCTATATATATATATGTATATATATATATATATATATATACATACAGAACATATAAAGTACAGACAACAATAACAGTAATCAATAACAATAAATTCCAGTAAATATGTAGTTAAGTAACGGTAGTGCATAAAACAACAAATTAGGGTGCTGTAAAATTGGGTGAAATACTAAAAACAAGAACATATTTGCTTTGATTAACAAACTGTTTTAATTAATAATGCATTATACTGTTACATTTTATTGTTCATCTATGCTAATAAAACATTTGCTTTGCCAAAACCAGACTGATAAAAAAAAACAATTATATTTTGCTGTGTGGTGAGTTGACCTGCTCACTGTGAGCCAGATGTTTTCATCTTGATAGAACTTGGTTTCCCATAAATGGGGTATCTGGATCTCATTGTGGTTCTGGGATCATTTACATGGGATTGAAATATATTTTTTTAAATGACGGCAATGAGCATTTTGATAAACACAAGGGATGAAACGTGTTTTTATAAATGAAAACCAAAGTCTAATGATTGTTGCCATTATGGTTGTATTCAACTGGGATAAAAGTAACATTTGTCAACTAAACATAGGTCACAAATATGTCTCCGTTATTTTGCTAGTTAGATTATTTTTGAAGTTTTCTCTCCATGAGGTTTACTGTCTACATCTTTTTTAATCTTTGCTTTTTCTGTATAAAAAATGATATTCTCATGAGCAGCCAAATGTGGGTAGATTAGATGTATAAACACACACA